GAAGTTCAGAAGTATGTTACGAAATTATACAATAACTAAACAGCCTTTGACACCACCACGCAAACAAAAAACAATGTTTCGAAAACAATTTAACGAAAACTATAAAAATACATGAACACTTCTGCAAGTTAGCAACTACTGACACTAATACAAACACAATCACAAAACACTATGTCACGCAATCAAATCTACTTACTTTCCGAGACCCGTGAAGATCCGGGGTAGAATAGGTCTTCAGCAACCCATGCTTGTCACAGAAGGCGACTATGCTTGTCGTACGAGGCGACTAACGGGATCGGGTGGTCAGGCTCGCTGACTTGGTTGACACATGTCATCGGTTCCCAATTGCGAAGATCGATGTTCATGATGTTGATCACTGGATTGTCTGGTCCTGACTCGATTATTTACAGACCGCCGCCATATAGAATATAGCTAGGCTGACTACTTTTTGACCGACCCTCGTAAAATATCACTTTATCAGCAACATCTGCTAACTAATACGAGAGTACACACTGCAATGAGTACTCGTGAAATATTTGTATGATTTGTGTAACAGACTACATTATCAGTTAAACACATGTCTTTTTTATCTGGAGTGTTTTCATTTCCCATAAACGGAACGAAACTAAATGCACACATGAATAATGGAATATGTAAAACGTTGATGATTAATGTCGTCCATGCATATGCTCCTATATTACTCCTGGAAATAAACTGATAAAGAAAACCAACGTCCACACAATGCCTTCATTTCACGAGCCTGTGATGCAGAGTTAAAGTTGCTAGCTCTAATTTGAAATATGTTCCAAATTATTGTCCTCCTGAGAGGGTACGTAAGTCCCAAAACATTCAAAGTTAATTTAAACCTTCTACTATTTTTAATCGTAGCATATATGTTATTAAGTTTAAAAATTATCTAAAATTGCCAATAGCTGAAGGGATGGTGTAAATCCAGCTAGGGTCCATGCAGGAAGCAAATGTACTGTAAGTTCCTCATGGTCCCTGGTATGGTGATCTACCTTCTGTCTTTGGCGGTCTATACCTGTTTTTATATTGTATTGTCTTGTGTAGTTAAAATTGGAATGTAACTGTGGTGACACTTACATCGGTGAGACTGGCAGACCTATTGCCACTCGGATAAAAGAGCACAAAACATCTGTCAACAAATCAGACTTAAAACCAGCTCTTTCTGAACACTTAGTTAAGAATCCTGACCATACCATCAACTGGCAACACACAGAAATCTTAGCCGTCAACATTAGCAATTAGCGTAAACGGAAATTAATGGAAGCTATCCACATCAAACGTTCCAAACCGGAGTTGAATAGGGACCAAGGTGACTTCCTTCCCAATACTTGGTGCATTAACTAATTTCCCCCCAACAAAGGTGTTTACCAAACATGCTGTACATCCCATCGTCTAATTTCTATTATTGTACATCTCAATCACCTAATCTCTATCACTGTATATCCGTTACTGGCTTCCATCTGTGGTCATTCACTCTATGTAAACATGTTGTACAAACAGTATGTATTTAACTTAATCCCCTTACCAATCTGCTGTAATAACAACTCTGTGGCTTCCTGTATATACTATATATACCTCTGTAACCATTGACTGCCATTCACCTGATGAAGGGGCAAGTATAAACCCAGAAACGTCGTGTGTAAATGATAAAGAAATTGCACATCCATATCAAGTGTGTTGTATTACCCTACCAACTTCTAAATGCCTATCAAACATCCTTGAATAATGTATTTCAGGAAATAACCTATGTTTTTTCATTGATGATTCAACCATATCTGACATCCAGCCACTACAACCTACTCTGCTCTGGATCTGGCACTCTCCGATTCCACCACGTGTGAATTTGAATGGATGGTCCATTATGACCTGTGTGGGACTGATCACTTTCCCACCACTCTCCAAACTACCAACCCTGGTAATGATCCACCTTTATCGTGAAGGAACGTCACTCATTATATGAGTTACTATGTACTGATCACTTATAACATGATGTTTTCACAAACAGTGAAGATCCGGTACAGTTGTTCTCAGATATACTTAACGACATTGCTGAAAATTCCTAAGTCCTCTGCAAATCCACATATTCGTAAACTATGGTTTAATAATGAATGTAAACCGACCAGAAAGTGTAGGAAGAAAGCTGAAAAAAAATATTTTTGCATATTGCCATAATCTAGATGCAGTTAAAATTACTGATGCCAAGGCTCGACGCGCTTTTAAACAAAGTAAGCCTCAGTTTTGGAACTAAAATAAATTCTAAAAGAAATCCACGTAAACCTGTGTTAAAGGTGTGGAACATGATACAAGGAATAAAGGGCAAACGTTCAAAATCTACTGTTCACCATCTGAAGTACGGTGATAACTTATTAACTAAAAAAACTGACATAGCTAATGAAATTGGCGAAATTCTTTCCAAGCATTCTTCATCATTAAATTATGACCCTGAGCTTTAAAAATAACAAAAACATCCGGAGAAATAAAATTCATTTTAACCCAGATAATGGTGAAGACTGCAACGGATTGTTTTCGTTACATGACCTGGCTCCATACTGCCCTTGAGCAAGCTCATGATACAGCATCAGGGGTTGATCTACTATCAGACCCAGAATACAGCTAAATGTTTTTGATACAATATGGACATCAGGGATTTCCCGCACTCGTGGCATACTGCCATTGTAGTCCCTATACCTAAGCCTGGATGGGATCATACTGATCCATCTAATTACAGAACCATATGTTTAAAGAGTTGAATCTGTAAAACAATGGAGCAGATAAATTTAACAGATTACTTTGGTATCTGAAAACCAGTAACTTAAATACTTATATACGAGGTGGTTTCCGGAAAACTCGCAGTACTATTGGTCATGTAGTACGATTGGAATCCTTTGTAAAAGAATGATTTTCGCAATTTCAAGTGCGAGTGGGTTCTACCCTATCTGATCGTTACAATCAGGATAGGGGTGATCCACAAGGCAGTATTATGACTGTCACCTTATTTAGTGTTAAATAAATAGTCTTTCAAAGGTTTGAGCTGATTTAGTAGATGGTTTAATGTTTGTTGTTGTAAAAATGCGCCTGCAAAAAAGAGACAGCTGCAACTCTGTCTCAATAATATTCACAATTGGTCAATTGAAAACGGTTTTTAATTCTCTAAATCAAACAATAATTGTATACAGTTATAAAAACCATAAATTAAAAATGCATAAAGACCCAGAACTATTGAAAATGGCACGTCCATCAAAGTTGTTAAGGAGGCCAACTACTTAGGACTTTAAGAAAAACTCTAATTTGCCCTTTTTACCACATATCAAATACCAAACATCGATCATTGGTCCGCTTCAAACTTGATTATGGCTATATCGTGTATGGTGGAGCCTACAAAAGCAACATAAAGCTATCAGATTCTGTCCACCACGTCTAAGACCTTGTCTTGGGTCTTTAGAACTTATGCTATTGACAGCCTCTATCCCGAGACCGATGAGACCCGTGTGGAGATCCGGGTTAGAGCTGATCTTCAGTAACCCATGCTTGTTGTAATAGGCGACTAACGTAGATGAATACTCATACTGTTGATCACTGGATTGTCTGTTCCAGACTCGATGATTTACAGACCGCTGCCATATAGGTGCAATGTTGCTGAGTGCGGCGTAAAACTAAATTCACTCATGAGACCGATGAGCCATCTCTTAACCAATGCCGTATAAAATATTCCTTACAGTATATCACAAAACTACATTCTAACGAGCCCAACCCTGCATTTTATCGTCTTTATCCTCTTTATCAGGATCTGTACAACAAGAAGTTGTCTCTTATTCCACCTCCAGGAATAAGAATCAAACCTTTTCTTTCTGCTTCTGGCATTGACCTTGAGTGAGTGACTGAGTTAAAATTTAAAGTCACATTGGCAACATTTCAGCCATATCGTGACTAGAACTAGTTCTAAATTAATATATATAAACCCTGTCAACGAAGGACAGTAAAAATACTAGATTATCACAAAATGAGTTAAGACTAGCTATCTTTAAAAGTAGAAAACTATTTTTGGACTTACAGTACTTTGGCTACCTGCATGGACCCTAGCTGGATTTACACCATCCCTTCAGCCACTGGTGATTGTAGTGAAATTTAGCCGTTATTTAAAACAACAATTATTCTACGATTAAAATAATTTTGTAGGTCGAAAGGAGGACAATACTTTTATTCTACTTATATTAAAAAGAAACTATCTGCACAATATCAAAATGTATCAATCAATTCAATTTCTTTTAAAAATCCAAGGATTAAATGAGGAGCAACGTAATTAAGAAGATCCTTCATTGTTTTCACATCGAAATATTTTCCCTTGTGATGGCAAAATCAATACAGTCAAGCAGGCATTGAGCCAGAAAATATACCTTCTTCCCGTCAGCTTTCTTCGCCTCCTTGGAAACTGGTGAGACCACAAGTTGACCTGATACTTGCCACATTCAAGAAATCAGAAACCAACAAATTACAGTCTGAACAGGAATTTAATCAATTAAAAAGTAAATATAATACATACAAATCCTTATATACAGACATATCCAAGGATGGTGGCGCAGTGGCTTGTGCCATCATCATTGGGACGAGAATAATATCCTCCAGATTACCAGATGGCAGCATGATATTTACAGCAGAAGCAAACACAATACTAACAGCTCTTAAATACATGAACAGACACACTAAATATAAACAATATAGCATCTTGTCGGGCTCTCTTTCGTGTGGAAAGGCTATTCATAAGGTATCTCATAGACATCAACTTTTAATTGAAATTATTGAATTATATAATGATCTTGCTAGTAGCCAATACGACATCGTCCTCTGTTGGGTACCCAGCCACGTTGGCATTTCTAGTAATACAATGGCCGATTTCGCTGCTTAGGCAGCACTCAACAACTCGTCTTCTCATCTCTATCATTAAAGTACTCACAGAAATAGAATTTTTTTACATATATTTCGTAGTTTTGAACACAACTAAAATTTGATTGTGAAATATTTTATGACTATCGTTACCACCAACGCTGTTACACTTTTTGTAACATCATCCAAAATAGATGAAATAGTTTACAGGAGAGCAAATTGTGTCATTTTTACACCTTCGAAATCAAAATGTATGTTTCTAATGCAAGCTACAGTATGCAAATGAGATGTACTCTCCATAGGTTCGCGTACATAATATTCTTTTATGAAAAAGTCATATACCATTCATCCTTTACTTCTTGTATCCTAATTGATATTTAGAATAATTGATTTAGGATTTTCTCAAAACTCTTGTTGAAAGTTTACGTATACTATTTTTTACGAGTCTATTCATACATTTGATTGTCAATTGGACAATGGTTATGACAAAACAAGAGCAAATGCATCCTCCCGTCTAAACACTGCTGCGGGTAGTTGTTACCACCCGTTGTTGAATGCGACGTAAGTAATAACATGTTTCTAAACTTGTTGATAATATGCAATTTTTTGTTATATTATCTGTAAAATGGTATTTTTGAGGATAATTAGAGGACTAAATTAAAAGGCCTAGTTGGGAAAAACATAGTTCTTAAAATATTTGTTAAAGCTCTATCTTAAATAATGTAGAAAACAAATAAACGCCAAACACCATTGTATTTCTAATTCCGTAAGTAATTTAGTACTTACATCCGTGATCTGAGGCAGAAGAAATGGGACAGCCAGGGAAGTATCAATAAATAACATGCAATAAAACGTTATATTGGTTAAATTTACTTGGGTTGTCAGTGGATCCAATGACAGTTGGACTGATTGGTTCAAAGTCTTGAATGAATGAATTATACTCATAAAGCCGCAGATTTTGCACTTAGTTACCTATATATTTATGTTATTATCTACGGCCTACATACTGCTAATTACTCACTGGAATGTTTTGAGAAGTTATTTTAAAAAAACCCCACTAGAATACAAACAATACTAGCCCAACCTTTCCATCACCTCAACAAAAATAACAAAAATAGAAGGAAACAATAAACAATGGCAACACAAATACAAGCATAACATAGTCACGTGCTTTTTAAAAACCACAAGTGCACGTATAGAGGCAAACGATTTTACATGCGCAACAGCGGAGAAAGTAACATAGTCCATGTTCGTATGGACATGGTTTTGATTTGGGAAAGTTGCCTTCTTTTGAAGAAGGTACTGCATTTCTACCAGGGATCATATATTGGTTTACAATCTCTGACACTACTGAATAGTAATTTTTTTATGACGCGTTAACATAGGGACGAATCAGTCTCCATTTTCTGTGGAAACAGATTCATTGGTCGCAAGAGGTCAATACGAATAGATCAGCAATACTCAGCATTGTCATCAGGTATTCGCCAAACGGGTAAACATGTCCTTGATTACCGGTAGCACATTTCGCTCACGCAATCTAGTGACACGATGGTGCATTTACTGATGTTGTTAAAACTAAAAACAATATTTTAATTTGGAAATTTCATAGGTATAATGTTGAATTATAAAATCTCGAGGTTTAATCAATTGCATTTGTGCACCTTATTTTTGATAAAGAAAACGTAGGGAGACATGGTCCGGTGACATCAGTTCGTGAATACTGGGGTGATTTTTTCCATGAATGTTATATTGTCCTGGCGCTGACTGTCATATTGCCTCTTGTAGTTATCTTCAGCAGGTCCCCATTCTCGTCGCGGGCGTAACAAATACTGTAAAGAAACCCACCAAACACACTTAATTCTGTTCAACATGACACATATAGACCAACAGAAAATATATTACTTTCGGCTCAGTAGTGTCAACAGAAGGATATTTGTGCAAAGGAAACATGCATATTAGAGATTGCTAAACATCATTATAATACAACTTCTCTACAATATTAAAAGCCAGGAAGGATATCACAGTTAAGTTTCAGCCGACGTGATTTGGAAAATAGCTCTAGATGCTCCTTAGGTGTTCTCAAGCCACATGGACAACGACATTCCAAAATAAGTTCATGCACGCACACCGAAACAGGATAAAGAAATATCCGGGTACAGGGGCATGCAGTTGTTTGAGTTAGTTTGGTGGGACTTGAGTTCAATGTACGTCACTGGCTTAGAATATTTCTAAACAAAGAGCCTGATAACCACCTGTATTAAGTTCAAGTTCTTAAGATGTATCGTTGGACTACGCACCTAAAGACGCCCCAACTGATATTGTGTTGATCACCCAAACAATTACAAGCTTCGTTCACCTAGCTTCATTCAAGACAGAATCATTACCTGAGAGGAAGGGACAAGTGCCAGCAATACAAACACGGCTACTAGTGCCAGTGGAGCCAGCGCTATGAACCACCCCATTACGTGGGCCCACACTGGATAACGGATCTCTTGAATCCATGGCGTAGAACGATGGAGGAGTGTAATTGACAAAGGATATCACCTGGAAAATCTGAAAGAAGCAATTACAGTTGTAAACATTTGAAGTTCACACGTTACTTCGTTTAATGGTGATATATGATTTATCTCAAGATACTATATATCGGGATATAACATTACCAGGAAGACGGGCGGAAGGATGAAACACCAGATGAACTTGATGACTATTGGAGGTGGAGTGCCAGTCATCATCTCAATATCCCTGACCAGCCGACCCATGCCTGAAAATGTGGATGAGGTTGAAATGGCTATAAATGATACAATGATGTGACACAATAGACCGATATGAACAGAGCAATGTTTCAATTAATTGATAAATAGGTTAAAATACAGTTTGCATACTTGGCTACGACGTGTTGCATTTTCTCTTTAATGACGTGGATGACGTGTGATGGAACAGTTCTGCCTTTCAAATTTATTGATGAATCTTTCAGCAAATAGAGAATGTAATGAATAAGATGAATCCTAGGATTTGAACGGGGATTGTAATGGTTTCATAGTGGAAGGGCCGTCAGCATTATGATTAATATAATACACACACATAGCTAATATTCAAAAATGTCGTCTTCAGTGTGTAATGATTCAAAACATGAAGAAACCATGTATGTAACAACAAGAACAGTATAAGTCGCTGTACCATACCGTATATCCATCCAACTGTAATGAATTGAAGGATACCAAGAATATATATTGGCACTATATATAGGTAAGAGTCAACCAGTGTCATCAAAATAACCCCTCCCTGCAAACAGAAACGGTTCAGTTACTCTTATATCATTCGAATTACGAACATGGAATTATACATTGCATTTTAATATATAGATAATACAGAAGTCATATATATGCCATCCATAGATGAGGTTAATATAAACAATGAGATGGAGGTTTTATTAACAGTGGTCTTACTTTAGCCAAATATGGAAGCGTAAGCAGGAGGGTTGCAATGCAGGTAACCACAGTAACCATGATTCTTATCATGCGAGATCAGCGTGGCAGGCTGTCAACTACAGCTGTGATGATCATGTCTGCATATACAAGCTGAAACAGGAGATTTTCTTATTTTTCATTAGCAACAGAACAGAGTATGCTAATACAGGGACCGTAACCCCATCCTTAAGGGTGTTCATGGCGTTACATTATATCCATGGTCAACCTATCAATGGGCATTCACACTTAATGGTGAATACACAGGTACCTGTGGTTATATTCTGGAAGGTCGTCTATTGACAGAGGCGCATGTCGTCCACCTTAGTATCCGTTCGCCATTGGCTGAAGCACTATTTGGGCTAGGAAAAACATTAGCTTCAAAATGTTGCTCATCCATTATTTCTTCATCAATGTCGCTTTATCTTACACGGTTTGTTACCTTTGGCCTATGCACCGATTGCCAAGTACGTTTGCAAGTCTTTATCAATAAACGAATTGACTATCCATTCGTAATTTGATGATATATAAATAGTGTGCATTGTTAGGGGCACAAAGTAAACCGTCATTATAGAAATCCCACAATTCGACAAAATAATTTTGACTGTCTGCTGATCAATTCAAGTTCAGCATTGACGTATTATGTTAAAACAAATTGGATTAATATTGCTTAAATTTACCTGAGGAATTCAATCCGACAAGAAGAAGAATAAAGAAGTAAGCAAAACTCCAGAACTGGGACGCCGGTAGATGAAACAGCTCCGGGAGCAAATCAAATGCGCCCCTGATGCCTGTTAACATAAGGTAAGAGCTACGTTTCTAATAACAGATTGCCACCATTCTCGATAAAGTTGTCAAAGTTGCATGAATCAATTTTAGCGTCAGGGGAATATCATTTGTTAATTTATACTTATGACACTTAGGGCAAGAGTCATACGATCAAAAGACAAAACAGTACGTTTGTGATTAAGGCCTTCGAATGTTAAAAGTCAGTATTGAGTTGACAGACACATTGTCTCTAGTCTGTAAGAAGTTAGAAATGAGATATTTTCTCCAGTTGTAAGAACAGATCTTAGCATAGTGGGATATTATCCATGTATCTGTGACCACACTTATATAATAAGTTAT